CAAAATCTGACAACCTAATTGTTCTATTAAAAATCTCTGCGTTATAATAGAATACAACTATAGCTGCACCAACCTGATCGTTAATCTTTGATCCGTCTGTATAGATCTCAATCTCTTCCTCGGAAGGTTTGTGTTTATCGTAAGTAATTGAAATATTATCCGCTGGATGGATATTATGTGGATCTAGTCTGGTTTCGTAATCTTCACATTTAAAAATTTTTGATCCAAACTTTATGTCGTTATTTATTGTCGTGACTAAGAATTCTTGTCAACACTGTTGAAATTCCCTGGGTTGATAAGATAAGAGTTCTTGGTCTTCATATCTCCAATAAACTTTCCTTTCAATCTTATTTTTGGCACCAAAAAATAGTCTTTAGACTTCTTAACGCTATCAAGACTATCAGTGGTAAATCATGGGACATGAGATCAATCCATTTAGTTCAACTTATCAACTCAATTACAAGAAGCACCATTGATTATGCTTGCCAGATATTTTCCCTAGCTTGCAAATCAGATCGAAAGAAATTAGAAACTCTATACAATTCTGCTTTAAGATATGCTACTGATCTTCCGAAATTTACTCCTCTTCCATTTCTTTTCAAGGAAGCAGATGTTTCTCCCCTAATTATAAGACACGATTGCTTGAGAGAAGTTTTCTTAATCAAGCATTGCAAACTGGGTGAATTCTCTCCATTATATACTTCTTGGGCCGATTCTACTATCTCTAATTCTTCTTCTTTTGCAAAAGAATTACAAAATATTTTGAATTCCTGGAATCTCTGCATTACAGATATTTTAAAATATAGTTATTCTGTACATTTCGAGGATCATCGGGAGGTTAAAATCTATACTTCATCTTTGCCTTTTCAGAATAAACATCTCAATCTATGCATCATTTCTACTTTCTACATAGAATATCTGGATCGTATTAGTAACAACAATATTACCTTAGATACTGATGCGTCTAAATCAGCCCGTTTTACTTCTATTGCTGCCTATAATCTCAATATGCAAAAAGTCTCTACATGATTATTTCCAAATGTTAATATCACTTTCACTACAGAATGTTTAGCCATCATCATGGCTATTAAATTACATGTTAAAGATAATAATCATTATATAATCCTTACTGATAATAAAAGTGTCTTAGAGTCCTTAAAATCAGTTACTCATAAATCTCCATCTGTCATCCTTGAACTACATAAATTTCTTCGTTCCACTCTTAATCATTCATTGTCAATTACGCTGATCTGGGTCCCGGGTCACCGAGGAATTGCACCGAACGAAGAAGCAGATCGATTTGCAAAATCAGTAAATTAGAATACAGAAAAGTGGCAAATTGTTGCTGCAGAAGATCTCATTGTCTCTTATCAGAAAGAAGTATAATGACAAAAAAGAAAATTGCTGGAAAACATGCAAATAATTTCAAGACTTTAAACATCTGGACACAGTAAAGAAAAAACATAAACTCATGAAGAAAACAAGGAAAGGTGATGTTCTTTTAAGTAAATTTCGAACTAATATGCTTCCTACTAATGAGCTCCTTCTTAGATTCAATATTGCCTCTTCTCCTAACTGTGAGTTTTGTGTCCACGCGGATGAAACTATATCAAACATCCTTTTCATTGTCCAAGATACCGTGATTCACGAGTTCAGCTCTTAAAAGAAATTCAAGATTTGAACCCTGTTTACTCCGATACATCCCTCCAAAGCCTGTTAAATTTGGACAAGAATGCCAAAATCAAGCTGAGAGCACTTGAAAAATTCTTTCTGTCTTGCAACTCTTCGCTTTCCCCCTCGTTTTATTTGTTTAAATGTTTTCCCCCTTGCTTTTGCTGTTTCTTTAAAAGCTTTTTTTTCTTTCGTATTTTCGATGGTAAATCTCTCTAATTTGTTTCTCTTGTTGTAGCACTAGTAACAAAGCCAAGCTAGTGCTTGTAGCAGTAGTTACAACTCTGTACAATAAATAAATATGCACCGAATTTATTGAGGAAAAAATATCTTAAAATTTCTATTAATTTTAAATTAATTAAAAGGCTATTTAAAACTTTAAAAAACTCTTTCTAAAACTAACAATCCCAGAAGTGACCACGAGCCAAACTTGGAATCTCTAGCTCTAGCAGTCTGCCATGTAGAAACTTTTGAAAATGTTTGAAATTCTCTCTAAATTATTGCTTTCACACCTACTCTAAGGATGTGTTTGTACTCTATAAACTAAAACGAACTCTTCATTAATACTATAAATAAGGAATTTCCAGTTTACTGATTGTAGATGGCCCTTTTTATTATATGAGAATACAAAGTCCACCTGAAACTCAAATATGAAATCTACTCTTCTTAAACAACGTTGCCATTCCAGAAACAAACTTTCAAAACATAGATGTTATAAAAGTAAGTAGACGCTCAATTACAAAACATGTAAGGGTAATAGTAATCAACCGTTTGAGGTTAATTAAATATTATTTAGAGTTTTTTAGCTATCAAAATGTAAACAAAAATATTAAAGTCTTAATATTGTACAGAAAGATTTTGCATCGTGCATGTCGCATCGCGCAATTCAGTGACTATTTTTAACCTGATAATGTTTATAGGTGATATGAAATTATGATTTAGAAAACCAATGATTATATAGTCAGATCTGATAATTGGAAATTGATCCAAGCATGAATAATAACTCAAAGATTCTTTCGCATAAACTTATATTAATAAAATAGTTCAATATAACGTAATAATATCATTATAACGTATTTAAATTACTTATTGATGACATAACATTCATAACAATCAGAAAAATGCTAGTTTTGAGCTCAGTGTTAAAACTGGTGATATCTATTATATTCATGAATTTTTCATAGCGCCACGTGAGTTGAATTAAACATTAATTTAAATTCAGATCGTTAAAATATAAAACATTGTGCTGTTTTAAAACAATCAATATTCTGTCCACAAAATTTTACCAAGTTTTTCAAATGATGGATGGTTTTCCTGCTAAAATATATCCTACTTTGAGGATCCTACTTGATAAAAGAACGGCAAAGTCAAGAGCATTACAAGATAGAGAAGAACACGATAAGGAAGTGCAATGGTGCGATTTACCGTTTCCTGCATTAGAAAAGATTTATTCCTCTGTAAGCCGTAACGATAAATTAAATATGTCACTGGTCTGTCGCAACTGGTCTGAAGGATTCTATTCACCATCTGTGTGCAAAACATTCAGATTCGATTTGACAAACTCGCAATTATCGAAGGACACCTGTCCTGTGTTGAAATCTGTGCGGAAATGCAGCAGCATGTTCCGACACGTAGAAATCGAGTGTAATTTCGATATGAAGGAGCGCTTGATTGAAATTTGGTGCAGACATTTCATAGAATTCTTGCAGATCTTGGCCAGCAACTCGCAACTTCACTCAGTCAAGTTCCGAGATCTCGATCTTTGCTTTGGGCCTCGCATAGATACTCCGACCTACAACAACATATGTAGAGCGATTGGCGATTTTCTGGGATCGCAGCGTCATCTGAAACGAGCAGAGTTTCATTATTGTTCCTTTGGATTCAGTGAAGGTGTCGAGCTTCTCAGAAAACTTACTGAACACAATTGGCAGTCTCTCACGCATCTCGTTCTTCAAGAATTCTTTCGTTATGAGTCCAATGATAAGGAACAGGTCTCAAATGATGCGCAAAAACTGCCTACGTTCGCAGATCTTCCAAGCTTAAGAACTCTTGAAATGGATTATTCATTGATTTTTGAGAACATGATCGCAAGTCAGTCTCCGGACATCCAAACAATAAAAAGTTGCCAAACGCGAGTACTTTCGAAGATAATCTTGAATTATTATAATGATTTCATGGAAATAGAAGGTTGTAGAGGTTTAACGTCAACCGATTGGTGGTTTCTGAAAATATTATGTCCAGATCTACAAGTAGAATTGAGTATTACAACCAATTCAGCAACACGCCGATTGGTGGAATTCTTCATTTTGCCAAACATGCCAGTAACTCGGTTGGATTACAAAAATGAGGATTTTGAGACGGGAATAGAAATTAATGTGCTATTTGAGCATCTTCTTACGTGCAAGACCAACGAGCATCTGGTTGCTTTTCACTTAGAGTGGATGTGGCCTATCCAAGACTTATCCTCCACTTTTATTCCTTTTCTCCAAGCTTGCAGGAAACTAAAATGCTTAGAGTTGTTCATAGTTTATTCCGCCAGGGGCATAGAGGTCTTGCTGGAATCTTGGCTGGAAAATCGACCTGAATCTCTAGAGAAAGTGATTATAGATATTTCGGAATTAGAAGATGAAGATGATTTCCCAAGCTTGATGAACTTCACCACAGAGTATGTGTCTCTTTTAAAATTGGCGGGATTAAATATAAGGGTAGATTTCCATAGTTAAAGGATCATATATTGAGACAACACTAAATGTGCAAAGAGCATATTAATGAAACTTTCATTCATATGGCGCCATTAATATTTTTGAATCAAACAACGCTAAATCCTTACTTAATATTATATGTAACGTTATATCAGTGGATAAAATGTTCATTTCATAGTGTGAATTTTTTTCATAAAAAATAGAATATGGATACAAATTCTCATTTTTGTGTGTATTTATTTTTCATATAATAATTTTTATTATATTGACCATTTATTTAAGCACATAACATTAATATAGCTTTATCTGCTCTCGCATTTAGTTTTTATTCAAGTAAAATTATCTATATGCCGCTTTGATTGTCGCAGATTTAGATGTTGTAAGCAATGTGGGAATTCTATGGCCAAAGTTTCATAGTAAGTTGTACTAACTGTTCATTTGTAATATATTTAGTTTCTAGGAGTTTAAAAATAATGGTAAGCATTTAAAATCGAAGCAAATGATGAATCATTGCGGTTTAGCAACGTTTTCTCTTGCTTCTTTGTTCAGATTAGTTACACTATAGTGGACCGTACTGCCACCATTTTACTGTGATGTTTATAATCCAATATCCGCCTCCGGATATTGGGAAGTCCTTTTGTCTAGTGGTTAGGATCTTCTGCTCGGAACCGAAAGGTTCCCAGTTCTATTCTTGTACTGCCACAGTGGTGACCCGGTCGTGATTTGAACACGCAACACCTACTTTCAGTCGCACTACTAGATGACAGCACCAAAATTCCATCTACCTCTACATCCACCAGATGGCAGCACGCCAACTTCTACACTAAGCTCTCCCAAATTCAAAATCTATGACCATTTCATAGTACAAAGTCTGTGACGCACTTCACAACACAAAGCCTGCACGTGCCTGCGCACACATAAATGGGAGGTTACAATCTGCGCATATGCACGCAGCACACTTATCGCTTCTTTGATATTCAAATAATATAAAAACAAGCTGGGGGTTGCTACGAAATACTTGTTTTGTGATTTTATCCCGACATTTTCACGAAAAATCTACGGCACGGACCCGAACTGCACCTTTCTTATGTTTTATTTAGAGTAGCTTCTGATGGCACCATCTGTTGACAGTATATAAAACTACATTTCACGTATGCGCAATAAAACATTATTTACTACAAATTCTCTTATTTCCCGTAATATTAGAATTTTTGAATTCAAATTTTAATACAATGTTTCTTTTACGTATTGTCAAGTATTCTGCCAGTTTCGTACAATTCGAAAGAAAACGCAGCATGTTATACTGAAAAAACAATGCGGAGTTTGAAATTTTCAATTTAATACCGATTTTTACTTATTTTCTGGTAAATATTTTTATTGTCTCACTTTGGTTCCTAGTAATACTCCTCAAGTTCTTTAAAATGACACCAAACTCAACCTCCTAACTAAACGCGTTTCCACGCTACCCTTATTTATAACTTTACATAAAGCTAATTCATAACAATCACGCGCATGCGCCTACATTTGGCACGATGACGTCACAGGCAAAACAAATACTATGCTGCAAACTCTCACAAATACGATCTATCCGTTGTGGGGTCAACTATTATTTTCGCATTATTAGTCTCGTAGTTATTAGCGATTCAAATCTGATGCTATTTTGTCACACAAGAAAGTTCGACCGACTATCACTGTAACGAGCGGAAAGACGTTTTCACGTCAAAAAAATCCCCTTAATTTGAATAACTAATTTGGATAACAAATGATTAACATTGCATGGTTTGGAACATAGTTGTGCCTAAAATGATTAAACTGGAAGAGAAAAATAAAGTAAAAGAAAAGAAAATACTAAAAGAGTTACAAAAAATTATATAAAAAGAAAAGTGAAATGTTTTTAAGTGAATGACTTTAAGTGAATGTTTCTAAGTGAATGACTTTTAAATCCAGCGTGTTTGAAAGTAACTATAAAATGTCCTGGATAAAAAGTCACATTCAGTTCACTTTTATGATGTATATTGACAACGTGACAGCGTCAAAAAGGCACTAAAAGCAGCAGGAGCAAAGTACTTTGACACAGTTTAGAAACAAAGCCAAAAATTAACTACCCAACAAATTATAAATAGAAATATAACTCACACTCTCTTCATCTGACGTTGTCATACATTTTATTTCAAAACATGAAATGCCGAATACTTATTTTTCATTTTGCCTGGTTAAACCTTAAGAGTGAAATTCTCTTGCATCTTTCAAAATCAAGCTCAACTCATTCTTCCATGCGAAAAAGATTTAATTTAAATATTCGCTCTTTCATTGTGAGGGAAAATAAACTTTTAACGAAATAATCCATAATAATTAGACAACGAACAGGGCAGGTGCGATTGATCTTCTAAAGAGTTTGATGAAAAGAGAAAAAAAACTTACAGTTCCAAGACAGCAGTCTACGGAGGAAAAATAATCGAAAACGATTTTAACGGAACAACACTCTGTTGAAATAAAATGAAACCAATGTATTGGCTAAATATTTTAAATGTTTCAATTAATCGACAAATAAGCATTAAATGAATCCAATTTCTATACCATCTGAAGCCAGAAAAAACGGGAATTTAAGGGAAAACTAATACCTGAAAATGAAAGGTATACTTTCTAATTCTCAGACTATCCAGTTTTGCATTCGTGAGACAGAGTAAATGCATTTTGCGAAGGCCCATATTCAGAGTAAGCCGCGTCGTACATTATTCATGGAATCTATTGATCGGCGTCTACATTTTCTGAAAGTGAGTATTTCTCCCTGGAGTGATGGATGTGCCACGGGAGATTAAACAGATGTTTAGATGATAATTTTTTTACCAGACTTTTAGACTGGCTTTTAAGAGGTGCCGAGTGTATACGAAGCTTGTCTAAAGAATGAAAAACATCTTTTGTTAGTTCCGGTGAATAAACAATTAGACTGTAAAATAATAACTTGTAGTGAATGGTGTTGAAGAACAAAAATGCTGTCACAGTCCCGATGAAGTTATTTTTGTTCGTTGCCTAATGATTAAGAAAATAAACTTTATTTAGAAGTGTTTTTGTCTGCTGAAGAAATGGAGCATTTTTATATTTTTATGGTTGTTCAATTAGGTTTGAAGTTTGTCTAGTGTTTCAAAAGAATAGTTTTTGTAGTATTTAGAATAAAGAGAATCCATCGTCTGGATATGTTTGAGGTATCATACAGTAGGAAAAACAATTTTTACCAATTATTAGCAAGCATCTCCAAAGAAAAAAAATCCGTTAATAGTTAATATTCTCTAAAAAGTAATTAGCTAACTGTTACATCGTATGTGGACAAATAGTTATTTATGCTGAAATTATATTTCTGGTCGGTATTTTGGTGAACTTTTTAAAAACTGGTATAAGGTATAACCGGAATAAATGAGAGGAAAAAAGAACCATTGATGTTTGATTAAATATTTTTTCTAAATTACGAATTGAAAGAACCATTGATGTCTGATTAAATATTTTTTCTAAATTACGAATTGAATTGTGTCTTTTGTGAATAATAAGCAACTTTTTCAGATGTATTAGCAACTATTTATTGTAAACTAAAATAAGAAATAAATGATTAAAACATCTGCTAGTGTAGTTATCCATCTATAATTTATAATTTTCCTCCATGCTACAAAATAATACCATATTTTTAAAGCAACAGCGCAAGATGCAGAATATTAATTAGTGATTAAGCATACTTGATGTTTAAAAGATGCAGGATATTAATTACTGATTAAGCTTACTTGATGTTTAAAAGCACAAATTTAAATACAAGTACGCTGTAAATTTGTTTAATTCCTACAAAATGGATAACATATTTTTTAAAGCAATAGCGCAAGATGCAGATTTAACGCACCGCAAAGTGGATATCTCCGAGAGTCATCGAGCATTGCTTCAGCTACATCTATATTTACACCGTATCAGCCATAAAAGGCTTGGTACTATTCATTTTGGAGGTAGGAATCTGCCAGAAAACTAACGCCCAGCGATCTCATTTGAGTTACATTTTCACTTCTGTGGCTATACAGAATGCATTCCATTGTTTCCTTGTTTGCTTTGTCTATGAAGTCAATAAGCATTTCCAAACTCATCAACAATTTTCAACAGGCATATACCACCTTTCAGACAGATTTTCAGACAGAAGTCAAAATTTCATCATTTTGAAATTCTTTGATTTTTACTTTTTGGAACTGGGACGTTCTAGACGTTCGAAATTTCAGTTGCAAACAAAGAGTTTTTTACCCAATTAAAAAATTTTGTTATTAAAATATAGTGCATGTAGAAAGAATGTGATGTTTTCAATACAAGATAGCTTAAAAATACTTGAATCTCAAAGTATTTGTTTTTTAATAGCAATTCGAAAATGAGCTCTGTTAGAACATACTTCGAACACGTATCTTCACATTGGCACGCTCAGGAAAAACAATTATTTCTAAAATCACCCAAAAATTAGCATAATATATGAAGAAAAGCTTAATTATTTATTATAATGCATTTGAAATTAAAATTAAAAAAAAAATATTGAATACCATATACTAGAAAAACTCAAAAATACGTGATATTTTTTATTAAAAATATTACCTTAAAATTATATTACTGATCAGAAATGTATAAAAAAAGGTTTAACAGGTGCATAATGGTTAAAACTATTATAATATCAAATTTCATACATATACAATGAAAAGAATTTTTTCTATACGTACCTAAATTTGGAAAAAACATGTTTTGAGAAAACTGCAAAAGCAAGTTTACAGACAAATCTTATAGCTGTTTGCATTTTAAATTTTAATTTAATGTCTTTCGGCAATTCAAACCTATACATATTAAACATTGCCGGAATCAGCGGAAAATCCTTTATATTTTTAGGCTTAAATTGAAAAATCGATTTTATTTGAAGGTACATCTTGTCCCAGTTCTTAACAATTTTCAACAGGCATATACCACCTGTTAGACAAGTCCAAAAGTCATCATTTTGAAATTCTTTCATTTTTACTTTGATTTATTTCTGAGGTAATGCAATGAAGTAGAAAAGAATTTTTATTTTTTGATATTTTACTATAGATTAAAAATCTTTACTATTTATGCAAAAAACGTTTTTCAAAATGATTTTCTAGTAATTTCTAATTTCCCGAAATTTTTTTCCCTGATTTTAATTTTTCTTCAGAGTTAACTTAATCTTGGTGTTTTAAACATAATTTAGTGGAAATTTATTGAAATATATGCCTTAAAATAATTCGTGCCTTAACGGGTTAAGGACTTTTTTCATATCTTTATTCGCGTACACCGCATATATGATCAATAAAAAATTCACCGAGATAATGAAGAAAATTATTTAAAGTGCATCTATTTTTCACAGATGAAGTAATTGAAAGATGCAAAGTTAAACAGGATATTAATTACTGATTAAGCATACTCGATGTTCAAAAGCGCAAATTTAAATGCAAATACGCGGTAAATTTGTTTATATGAAACAAGTTAAACACATATCTACATTCAGGAGTCCATTGCATTAAATCACATACTAGCCATCCTTTAAGAGATGTTGAAAAATAAAAACTGTTTTTTCTATTGAATAAAATAAACAGGAATATCCAGTTTCAACAACTGAAAAAAAAATTACTTTTTAAAATATCTTATCGACGTTCTTTCGTTTGGTTTCCATTGAATTTTTCGTC